ATAGATAGATAGATAGATAGATAGATAGATAGATAGATAGATAGATATGTAGGTAGGTAGATGGATGATGGAGATAGATAGATAGATAGATAGATAGATAGATAGATAGATAGATAGATAGATAGATAGATAGATAGATAGATGAGTGATAGATGATTTTAAGGTTTTGAGGTGTTAGGTATTAATAGGTTTGGGGGTATTTGATTTGGGTTATTTTCATGTGTTGATGGTATGTGATTTTACTGAAGATAGATTTTTGAGTAGCATTATAGACTACAATGGAATTTTGTACTTTGCTGTTTCTCTTTGTTTTCCAAAAAAATCTCAATTCTAAATGATCTTAAATAAAGAGACTATAATAATCTTCATGTCTAAAAAATGAGTAATATCTCACCTGTGCCCCTCAGTTGGAGCATTGCACAGTACCTCAGCACACTGAAAGATCTGGGCATCCAAGTATTAGGATATATGTTTAACACTGTTTGCTGCAGGGTATGTCATGTATGTTTGAACCAGGGACATCCAAGAAACTAACATTGTAAACAGTGAACATTTAGAGATTCCCTTCTAACTAATTGGTTCAAATGTCAATTTCCAAACCCACACTCATTGAGATCCCCCACCAGGTAAAGATGCAGAAGCAAAACCTGTCACATGAATGAGATGATGTCTCAATATATATTAAGGACCCAGAACATATGATGTACTTTAAGGGCAGGTCTAAGCTAAGCATACAGCATGAACAGGAATCATATTATTCAGAAGGAGCCTACCCTGATCCTTTAAAATGAATGTGAAAAAAATGCTGATATAAGAATTCCCATTCTGTTTTCTAAACAATGCAGTCTCAGCAGCGATGTGCATTCTTTCTTCTTCCTTCTCTAGGTCTACGTTCTAGTCCTCTCCACATAAGAAAATCCTTTGAGATCTAAAAGAAAAGCAAACAGGAGTAAGGACAGTACGTCACTCACGACACAGCCTCCCACTAAAATGTGTTGTACATTAGATGTGGGTCTCACCGACTCACGGAACCAAGCATCCACATCTCTCCCCCAGCATGTGCTATGGTTTTATGCGAGGAAGTAACACTTTGCAAATGAACAGAAGCCTGAGTAGTTCTGAAGAGACTGAAATTCACAGGAAGAGGCCAAGAGTTGAAACATTTCTAATTATCCAATTCTAGCTAGATAGTCCTGTGAATACAATACTCATTTTCCTTAGCATGAAAAACCATGTCTAGTGGTTTGTTGATAGCCATCTAAGCTGCTTTCTTTTGTCTCCACTGATTGCCTTCTTTGTGTGGAAACCACTATTTCCATGCTCCGGTGTGAATGTTTCAGTAATGTATTGTATTTATGCTATTGTTGTGCATTAAATAGTTACATATATAATACACATGCTGGGAAAACACTAATGTCTATTCAAAATTTAGACTGAATATATCTCCAGTTGTCAGCAAGAGCATAGCTAAGGTGGACCTTGAGCTAATTAAATGGAAAATTCTTATCTCTATTACAGCCAACATATCGATTGTCGATATCGCTACTAACCAAGAGGAGAACGTAGCCACTTCATCTTCTGGGAACAACTTTGGTCTTGACTTGAAAGCAGATGACAAAATATATTTTGGTGGCCTGCCAACTCTGAGAAACTTGAGGTAATCTAATGTATACTTAAAGTGAAAGTTTTAATTAAATGGCCATTGTGTCTCATAGAGTTGGGAAGTTTAATTACAATGACAATGCCATATAACCTTTAGCTATAGGGAGGACTAATCAAAAAAAAATCATGTTGTATGTAAGAGCAACACAAGGATTTGGGAACTGAGGATTAATTTGACATCTTTGTTGAAGAGATAAATTGGAATGGCTGTTTCTCTTATATTCACCTGCTGAAAGTAATTAAAGGTGGAGGCCGAAGCTGAATGTGAGTCCTGTAATTGCTGCTCTCGGTGCACAGTCACCAGAGAGAATGGCATTCTGACATTGTGCAGGCGTCTGAAAATTAGTCAGGGTTCGGGATGCTGTGAGTCTAAGCTATGTTACTGCTGAGCATTAGCATCATAATAGCATAGTGGAGCTTTTCCACGTATCCAATACCCAAAGATATTCGTTGTTCACATGCCTGTTCCAACAGACTTTAGAGATTTCTCATATGCTCTGTAGTGAGCAGGGTAGAGAGACATCAGTAACTCATAGTTCAGTTACTTCAAAAGCAGGAACTAAAAAGTCAAATAGTAGCCCATGCGGTATTTAATTAATTTACTGCTTAATATAAAACATGAGAAACAAATCCCATAGAGTATCTCGTACATACTGTGTGTTAGCTGAATCTAGTTAAAATGGGATGAATTAATGTGGTTAATTTGTGGGTAGTTATGACACTCTCAGAATACCATGTTTTGAGAGTTTTCGTGTCTGGTTTCTGGCTTTTTCTTGGTGGTTAATAAACGTTATGAAAGTCCTTCACAGGTGTTTCTACTCAATAAAAATAGAACATTAGAAGATACCTTAGAATGCCATCATCGGAAACCATGGGGGCAGTTAGCTCCCTATTTCCCATCAACAGGTCCCTGGACAGAGGAACCTTGGTCTCATTTTACATAGCAGTGTTATATCAACTGAAATTGTTTTTCCTCAGATATACTCCTAGACTGGGAAATTGTCTAATTACCAGTTTTTCATAGTGTTTATTGATAAGCTACATGGTACAGGCCATGTGTGCATGTTCACACACATCTGTACACACATACATTATATATTATATAATATCAGTATATTCATTTGTAATATAATTTTGATATATCAAATCATAAAAATCACTACATATCAAAATTATTTTAATGGTGTTATAGCTATCACTTTGTTAACAAAGTAGTTTCTTTGTTAAAAAAGCATCTAACACATGATTGCTGAAGACCTATTATGTGCTAGGTATCATGCCAAATGCCGGTGATCCAGTAATTATTTAAGCCCAAGATATACCTTGAAAAATCACTAACTATATTCAGAATGAATTAAATGTAGTGAAATAAGGCTACCCTAAAAATAGTTCACTTAGTCTAGTGAAGGTTTTTATTATTTGAAAGTGAATTCTTGAAACACCCACAAACACATCATGAATTAACTTCATTGAGAATAATTTGTATCTTGGTGTCTATTTGGAAACTATGCATGCCCTAAATCTTTATCACCAAAATGTTACTTCCTCCATTCAGCAATTTAAAATACAATACTGCTGCAGCGTGACCTACTATTTCAATATAATCTTTACATGCCTATCTGTGATTGACAAATTACTCTTGCATTCATGGGTTGTTTTGTGCAGTCAGTATCACTGTATGATGATGTGGTAAACACGAATTATTTTCATGTGTATTGTTAAATTTGAGCATCTTGAGAGTCAATATTTATAAGCTATTCATAAGCACCGTGCTGGTGAAATAATAAGAACTTTGAATTCGTATTCTAAAATAAAAATGTCTAGACGGTAATGTTTGGTGAGTGGCCATCTCTGAATTTTGGTTTCACTTCCATCAAGGACATTGGTCTATTCTGTGTACTTTTCTTCTTAAATATTCCTTTCTATGAGATGGGTTTTAAACAAGAATTATTATTAAAGTTTGGTGTTTTATTAAATAAAAATTATAGATAATTTTTATAAGCAAATGGTTATAAGTAAATTGTTTTTTTTTTTTCTCTTCCCTGTGGCTTAGTATGAAAGCAAGGTAAAATTTAAATTTATGCATGCCTTCTTCAAGTGCATGGCTGGGGAAATGTGGCTTTGTGGGGACAGCAGCAGTGCAGAAGCAGAGCACCACCGATGCAATTGCTTCCACAGTAGATTTCATGAGCAAATAATGCGTGCTGCAAGAGTCCTCATGCTTCCCAGCACTTACAAAGAGGCTGCTGCTTGCCCACCATCAGGCAGGTTACATCTGTTCTTTCACTGCTTTCTTGTGCAGACACTTGGCCTGGTGGCCAGCAGGCTCTCTGCACATGGATGCTGGCCAGTCGAGTTTATGGGCATAGTCTAATTCTGGGGAACCATGTTAAGATGGCTTCAGAAGCAGAACCTTAGACTCTGGCCTCCCCAGCACTGTGCTGCTTGCTCAGCACACCACCGTGCTACGGAATGCTCAGCACTGCCTTCTTGCTTTCTGCAAATACGCATTTACATGGCCACCGCACCTCTCGTCAAAGTCGCTTGTTTATTGCCATTTATAAAATTTTCTATGAAGTCAAATGAAAAGAACCTCTGCAGATACTACATTTCAAACAAATGGTTTGAGTTAAGAGTGGAGAGATTAAACAACAGTCTCCATGTAGCCTTTGAGCAGCCTTTGCATTCTTCCTGAATGCAGATATTCATAAAAATTAGCAGTCTTGTAAGTAACTGATCAAATACTAGAGATGTGGATGGCTGGTTGACCCTGGCCAAAAACAAAGGTGTTTTGGCATTTCGGAGACTAATTCTGCCAGAATTCTGAACAGGAGATAATGAAACTGAAGTGGTCCAGGAAATGTTTAAAGCCAAGACCAGATTTTAGTATCAAAAACTAGAAAAACTAGAAGGTAGGAAGAATAAAAACAACTCAATTTGTTTCATGACATCATTCTGCTACTATTTATACCCTGTTTGCAGGGAAGGCTAAGGAGCAAAGACTGAACATTCATTGCACATACGTATAAATAAAACTCCACGTTAGCGCTGTGTAATTTCTGTGCATGAGTGGTGGTCCTCGGGAAAGAGACCTGTGGTTGCCTTTAAAAAACAAATCGCTGTGCCCTGACTCATCCCTGAGACTTTCATAATGTTGGACTTGCTGAATCATTTGAGAAGGATCTTGGTATTTCCATGAAACAATAAGCTTGTGGGGGTGACTCACTTTATTGACAAAACTTCCCCAACCCCCCCCCTCCAAACTGTGATCGATCTGTCCTCCTCTAAAACACAGTTCGGAAGTAAGTGAGCACTGCAAGGGAAATCCGCCATCCCCTTCACTTTGTCGATGGTGATAAGTAAGAGCACATCCAGCTGGCAGGGTTCTTCATAACTACTGACTAAAGGAACAGAAGGAAGAGACCTTGGGAACCAGAGAAAATGACCAAAGGAAATAAAGAAGTTCCAGAGAGACGGGGGTGGGAGGGGGGAGGAGAACTAACACTTGACAAGAAATAAATCACCTGGTCCAGACTGCCAGGGTCTAATTTGCTTTCCCACCTGTTTTTCCTCATGCCATGTGTCTTTTCTAAAGATGAAAATGAGAAACTTGGCATCAAGGGAGGATGAGAGGAGAATTAATCATTAGCCTATCAAGTATGATATTGGTGTCGACTGGACACTTTCCAGATGTTCATCAGCACTACAGAATGAAAATTTGCCATGTTTACTCTTATATTGTGACACTGTTCAGTGTAGTAGCTACGAGCCACTGTGAACATTTTACACATGTGCGCATGCCTGCACACACAGCTCGTTCCTGGCACAAACTACATTGCAAGTCCTGATCATCAAGATGCCTACGAACTAATAAACTCCTGAAGAGAGCACGTCCGCCACCAGGGGAGGTTCTGCTGTCATAGACTCAAGAGATGTCACCGCCGTGCATGTTCTGTCAGTACGTGTGAACTGTGCATTTAGGTGTGCCACGCTCTGCAGCACATCCAGACTTTTTGTTCATCGAATACATAGGCACTACTGTCATCGTCACCATGCCTGCTTACACATATAAATATGGAATCCTAGGGAAATCAAATCACTTAGTCAATATCAAGTAATAAATCAGAGCAGCATGTACAAGTTGAAGGCAAGGAAATAATTTCTTGTTTTGTAATCTATTAGCATCTTTGCTGTGTCATTAGAAGTAGTGAACAGAAAGCAAGCATTTAAATGTGGTTTGGGTGGAGAAGACATGAACCAAATTAGAAAACCTGCCTATTTTGCATTATGTTGCCTTATTTTGTTATGGCACACACACATGCACACACATACACATATACACACTCACATACATACACATGCAATGGTACATGTACATACACACATATACACACTCACACACATTCTGTCACACACACACACACATCCTTACATATGCGCACACCTACACACTTCTCTCTAGCTTCAGGAATGTCTCACATAAACATTTCCAAATATTTTTTCCTACATTTTGAACAAGATTTTAAAGAGCTTTTGATAAATAATTGAATTATTCTGCCCGCGCCATTATCTGCTCTGTCGTGGAAACAAGAAGCACTTATTTCATTCTGCACATGGAGCCTTAATAAGTCAGCTGACTTCTGGGCCTCGTAGTGAAAGGCTGTGAGTGAAGCTGCTCTTAGAGAGGAAAAGATATCAGAACTCTGTGTACAGAGTGATGTCAACATCCAGTTAGCCCAACTTCCACATAATGGAAGCACCGTCTGTGATGTGCAAGTGTGTGCATGTGCACTTTGATGGACATGTCCCTGCTTGTGAGTGTGCATGTGTGTGTGTGTGTGTTCCACATGACTTCCTTCCAGTGCTCGATGACTACACTGCCATCAGTCTAATGGTGTTGCTGTGTTTCTCCATTTGACTACTCAATAGGCCAGAAGTAAATGTGAAGAAGTATTCCGGCTGCCTCAAAGACATCGAAATTTCAAGGACTCCGTACAATATACTCAGTAGCCCCGATTATGTTGGTGTTACCAAAGGCTGTTCACTGGAGGTTGGTTAATTTCTAAAGGTTCTATAACATATTTGGGTCATATTTCATTTACTTAACATGAGTGCTTTTCCAGAATTGTTCCTTTGTTAATATGGTTTAGATTTGTTCTGATCTTTTTATAGTCATGCGTAGAGGACAGAGTAAGACAGAAGCATCCTATAAGTCACTGTCATAGAAATGGTATTATGAAGAGCCAAAATTATATCCCATTTTTCAAGTCCTATAGTACTTGCATACATAGCAGGTATCTTCATAGGAATAGCTCTTCTGGTTGGTTCTATCTTCCTTTGCAATAACATTTTTTCTCATTTTTGTTACTTTTCTTAAATTCATTTTACATTTGCACACTATACAGCTTGATTACCTTTACCTAGAATAAGTTTACACTGACAGTAACCATTCATCATTCTCACCAGTGTGCAGCATCTTGTCCACAGTTTACACAGATGGTAACACACCTACCATCTCACTGGTGCACAGCATCTTGGTCACAGTTTGCACAGATGTTACCACCATCCACCATCTCACTAGTGCACAGCATCTTGTCTACAGCCTTGAAGTTGTGTGTTGTGTTTTGTCCAACATGAATTTTACATTCATATGATATGAATTTTACATTCGTGTGATATGAATGTAAAATTCTCCTGTATCTCAGAATCTCTTCTTTGTTGTTAGTGCAGTCGGGGGATGTGTGCTCAACAGTGACTCTTCAGCTCTGGCCAGTAAGTGCGAGAAAGACCCAGAGCATCACTTTCCCCTCTTATAATATCTATAACAAAGCTAAAAATGACCATAAGTTATTAATAAGAATTTTATGAAAATTCTATAGTGATGAGATTTTAAAATAAGAAAATATTGACTCTATCAAACACTAATTTTTAATTACCCGTTCTGAAATAACTGTTCGTTTTGGCCGCTGTCTCCAGTTCAAATCATTTTGAATCACTGAAGTGGATTTCAATGAAATGAAGAAGGGACGGGGAAATAGAGGAAGGAGTGGATTTGCCTTCTGAGCTGTGAGATTGTAAGATTGGGACAATCTTACCCACCTGGGTCTTCATTGTTCATAGCTGCAGGCTCTCTGTGAAATGGTCACAGACTCCCACTCCAAGTGTAAGAAGAAATACAGAAAGCATGAATACTCTAAGGGTCCACAGTGTCTTCTTAAAGAAAACCTTACATAGAGTTAAAACCTTCGAAGTCTGACTTTCAGTTAAAACCTTCGAAGTCTGACTTTCATCTATACTCAAAAGTTATATGCTTGGGAGTGAAAAGCTATCCAGAGCAATGAACTGAACAGCCTGTGGAACCATATAAAAGCATCCTATGTAAAGATGCCTACGTAAAGGCATTCCAGAATAGATAATTACTTGCCTAAAATAAGAGGCAAGAATTTGAAATGGATAAATACTGAAAAGTCTGCAAGGGAGTTTTATCTGAAACATTTAAAATTGTGAAATTTGAAAATCAGAATAGGAAGTAGATTACACATTTTTCAAATGGTTGTGCCATTTTGCTGGGCTTGAAATCCTGTGCAGGGTGCAGGGGCTGGCGGTAGCCCACATACAAGATTTTTTGCCTTTCCTCCATAAAATCAAAGACTTTTAAAAATGAGTATTTTAGGTATCATAAATGTTGAGTGGTGTGGTCTTGCTGCAATAAATGTGAGCACTTTTAGATGGTAGAATTCCTCCAGCTACTAAAAACAATGGTAAACCTGGCGGTGGTGACACATGCCTTCAATTCCAGCACTTGGGAGGCAGAGGTAGGTGGATCTCTGTGAGTTCAAGGCCAACCTGGTCTGCAGAGTGAGTTCCAGGGCAGCTAGGGCTGTTACCCAGAGAAACCTTTTCTCAAATAAATAAATAAATAAATAGATAAATAAATAAATAAATAAATAAATAGATAAAGTGATGATAAACTATATTTACTGGCAGAGAAATTTATATATTTGAAAAGTGAAACTGCAGGACTGGAGAGAAAGCTAAGTGGCTAAGGCCTGTACTGCTCTTGCAGAGGAACTGATTGCCTCTGGCTCCCACAGCAGATGCCTCACAACTGCCTCTTAACTCTTGCTTGAGGTAGATCCAAAGTCCTTGGCCTCTGTGGGCATGTGCTCATTCCCCCCCCCCACACACACACATACACACACCTAATTTAGAAGCAAAGCAAAGTCTAAAAGAACATAAAGAGGTGCTTCAGTCTAAATATAAAAAGAATGAAGGAGAGGACAAGGTTGTGAAAGATAGGGCAAATGAATAGATGAATTCTAGATGACTCCCTGCTTCCTGCATGACTTTGAGAGGTGAGTCACTTTCTCCCCTTCATACTGTGGTCAGTCTCTGAAGCGCGAGCATATGCATTCTATGGTTAGCGGCAAAACACTGATAATATTTTGAAAAAACAGACATGCTATATTAGATTTATCTATTTTTAAAAATTAGGATATGTCTCTAGAAATTATTCTAGAACTATGTGTATTCTTGATATTAATGAAGACTTTCCCATAGGCTCATCCTGAGGAAGAATGTAAATATAAGCCATGGTCACACAAATCTTTATAGCACAAAATATTAACTGATATTTCATAGCCAAGAGATTTAAGAAAGACAATAATGTCGGTTTAAGACAAAAGAAATGTTGTCGATCAATATCCTTCCACATTTTATGTCAAGTATTAAATATTTAAACAGAAGTCATACCTTTTACCTTTAAAGCAGAGCTGTTCAGAAAATTAACAGTATTATTTCTTCAATGGCTCTTAAGCTCTCAGTGGTACTATAGATTTTCGTGTTCCCTAAAATTACACTATTTTTATAATCGTGTTGAAAGTATTGAAGGAGGTGGCGTGGAGAATTTAGCCCCTTATTTCTAGTGATTTCTCTTTGTTTTTCCCATAGAATGTCTACACAGTTAGCTTTCCCAAGCCTGGTTTTGTGGAGCTTGCCCCAGTGTCCATTGATGTTGGGACAGAAATCAATCTGTCCTTCAGTACGAAGAATGAGTCTGGAATCATTCTCTTGGGAAGCGGAGGGACACCAACACCACCCAGGAGGAAACGGAGGCAAACCGGACAGGTACCTTCACCACTCATTCATAAGAGGCGTTCCCCTCACTTTAGGAGTACCTTTAGGAGGTGGGGAGATACTTGGTTGAGATGTTCAGTTGGTAAGGAGCCTGTCTTCATTAGCACCATTACATTGGTTTTATATTTTAGAGTTGAATCACTTATTTTGACAGTCATCTTGGTAAACCAGGACTGGTCATTCTCAGTGAGAAGATTCATACCAAGTCAGATATGATCAAATGAATAAGTAAATTGTTGTGCAAATATATCTTTGAATATGAAAATACCTTACAAATGAGATGATATCATTCTTATTAGATGTTTGTATGTGTGTATGTGTTTGTAGGTAGGAATACATATATGTGTATTGTATGTGCATGTCATGTACATATGTGTCAGACAGCCTCACACTGGCCTATAACTCACCAGGTAGGTTAAGTTATCTGGCCAGCAAGCCCCAGACATCTTCCTGTATGAACCTCCCTAGTTGTGGAACTACAGGCATGTGCAGCTGCACCTGGATTTCTTTTAATAACTTGGATTCTAGGGATTGAAATGAAGTCCTCATGTTTGCAAAGCAAGTACTTTACCAACTGAGCTACCGTCTCCCAGGCCTTTTAAATCGTTCGATTTTGATATTGAGTGATCTTTAGTAGGCAATAGAATCTTAACTTCTTTCTCTAAAACATAATTAAGCCTACAACAAAAGATTAGGTAAGAGGAGCAAGAACTATATGACCTTGAGAATCTCAAGAATGCATGGAGAGGCTGGTGAGATGGTCCAGTGGGTTAAGGTCTTTTCTGCCTGATGCACTGCATGAGTTTAATTCTCAGGGCCCACATGGTGGAAAAAGAGACTGGTTTCCACAAGTTGTCCTCTGATTTTTGCTTCGTGCCTCATGCCATGGCAGTTATGTGCCCCCACATGTCCACAAACACATTCACAAAATGAATAAATACATAAATAGAATTCTTAAGGAAACCAGAATAATCTAATATTTCAAAATTTTTAAAAAATCATAAAACTGTCACAATAGATTTAAGAAGACATTGGGCAAAATCTAACAACCTTCATAATTTAAAAAAATCACTTAGTAAACTAAGAGGAAGAAATATTCTATCTGTAAAACTATGATGATTAGTGCTCCTGATGAAGGAGCATCACAGACCTGTGATGTGCTATAAAATCAGGACTTAGAAAAAGAAGGCTAGTTTCTATGCGTCAATCTCTCTGCCACAGCAACAAAAGAAAAAGTAGCTAGACAGCAAAAGGAATGGTGTGCTTTGAAAATAAACACAGCAAGTTAACATAGATGAGGAAACTGTAAAGTTTATTGGAAGCCATTAAAGTCATCCTTAATGAGTGCACATATCCATTTTGTGCACTCATTAAAAATAGCTCAATTCTCCCTAATACGATGTACAGAGATTTAATTTCAGTATACCATCTTGTCTTTCTTACATATAGGGGCATTTATGTTTTTTTTTAAATTTATAGCAAAAATAAAAACTGACAAAAACACCTGAAATGGAAGAATATGGTGGTAGGATCGCTGTACCAGATCTTGCTTCATCTACGTCAGAGATTTGGACTCTAGTAATGTTTTCATTCCCAGAAATTTCGGTCCAGGTAGAATAGAAGAGAGAAAACTGGATATGTCCAAGCGTAAATACAGCAGCATTTACCAATAGGTGGCCTCCCAGATCATTAGGAAAACAGTAGGCATTCCCTGAATGAATCCAATGTCGTGGGTTTCTATACAGGAAAGAATAAAACAATTTCTACTTCATACCAAAGTGAAAAATAAGTTTCCCCAAAATAAAACTGTAATTATGGAGAGAAAAGTAAGTTTAAAAATTTTAGCAGAAAATAGCCTAGCATGGAGGCAAACACCTTTAATTCTAGCACTCAGGAGGCAGAAGCAGGCAGATCTTCATGAGTTTGGAGTCACCCTGGTCTATATCATGAGTTCCGGGACAGCCAGGGCTGCAAAGAAAGGAACTCTCCTCTCCTCTCTCTTCAAATACACATACATAGATATTATTAAGAGGTAAATATAGCTAGATTAGATAGCTCTAAAATGCAGATAGATAGATAGATAGATAGATAGATAGATAGATAGATAGATAGA